TGGGGCCCATCCCTCCCCTTAAACCAATCACAATGTGCCAAATCTCAATCAGTCCGTAAAGCCTCTGTTAAAGTCCGTGAATGTAGCATTGCTCGGAATGTAAATAGCGATAATACTACATACATGCAAAGAAACAACAGACCTTTATGGACTTGTCTGCATGCACTTCTCTAATTGCCCACCTAATTTTCAATGATGGGGCCGCCTCACCTAACAAAATCTTAACCAATAAACTCTAACCACTTGGTTAATCCCCCGTAATCTGTCTGTGAGTCTAGCATTGCCATGTAAATCTCTACTCCTAATGTCTTGTCTAAGTTGGTGAGTAATATCCATTTTCGTCCCATCACTTCCGTTCCTTTTATTTCGCTGGTTTTTTTCCTCCCCCTCGCACCCAAGCTGCCCCCTCGCGCGAGAAAAAAAACGGACGACGACCGCCCTCGTGAAAAAGAACCATACCACGACCCCCTCACACGAAGAAAAAAACTAACGATCTCCCCCGCGCCTGGGAACTCGATCTGGATCTCGGCGGCGGCTCCTCTCTCTCTCTCTCTCTCCGCGCATCGACGCATCCCCCGGAGCACTCCCCACCTCCTCCCTTTTCAGCGCCCACATCGCGACCCCTGTGGCTACTCCGTTGAGGCGTCGGCTTGACGGAGATGAAGAAGATAGCCAGGTGATGCGGTACTCGGGAGGTGGAATTGGCGACGAAGGTGGCTCCATCGAAGAGGGACGATGTGCTTCGGTGGTCAACGGCGGCTGCGCGGGATGCCGTATGGTATGGATCGGGCATCTCGAGGATGGGCTCTCTTCGCAAGTCCTCCTACACGCCAGTATGCTCTCTGATCCGAACCTTCTTCTCTTTGCTCACGCACGCACAGACGTAGCTGACCCGTCGTTGAACAACAGCGGAGGTGTTTGAGGAGTCTGTCCCGGGGCTGCGTGTGAAGCACGTCGACGTCTCCATCTTGGCATTGCTCAACACCGCCCTGCCGGCTGGGGTCCTTATTTTCCATAGAGGCCTTCCGCAACAGGGTCCATGATGCCTGATTGTTTCCTCTTCGGCTGGATCGGGTCCAACCACACAGTAAGCTATGCCTCATCTTCCGTCTTCTTTCTTAAATTTTCTATGGTTCTTGGTCTGATTCTCAATAAAGAGCTCTTTTGGTTATGACCTGCCCTATTTTGTTGGTACAGATTATTGTACTACTCTCTTGAGTGGCAAATATTTACTGAAATGGGATAATAGGTATACTGTTTATCTATTTCAAGACTGAAATATGATTTCTTCCTGCTCTATGTCAATTTATTTATTTTCTGAATAATTTACCAACACAGTGCAGGTTGATGTGTGTAGCACGTGTTAACAAAATCTCAATTATCTGCATGGTATATATATCTCTAATCATTGTCTTTTCCAGAATGAAGAGAAGGTATGAGAAAGATAATACTAATATTCCCTATACATCTGACATTTAACTTTTATGAGATTCTTGGATTCCTCAAAATCATGTCTATTAGTGTTTCTTCAATATATATATATATGCATGATCTTTCCTTTTGAAATTCTCATTATGTACATGATTTTTGCTACTGCTGGCCTTGAATTGGCACTGATTTGGGCCACCTTGTTGAATGATTCGTGCACGCATGTGTTTCGTTGGTCTTTTGCGATATGTGGGGAGCGTAAACTGGAAGAACGTGTGCAGCAGGCATCGCTGCTGCGCTGGACGACGTTGTGTGAGGCCATGGCCATGGACGATGTGCTGTTGGAGAACGGCGCAGGACTAAGGTAGTCGATGTGAACGACCACTGGGTATGTAATGGTTTAGTCCTCCTGAATTTGCACTCTGTTTTTTAGTCCTCTGTAGTGTTGTTCAATTTGGGCAGGGCTTACATTCTCTCATAGGATCAGACCAAACAAGGTCTTATAAGCTTTGCCATTGTTTTGTTCAAATAAAAACAACCATTATCGAGGAAAGAGTCATTCTCACATAGCGATTTGTTTGCCTCGTTGCAGAATTCCAATTGCTTTTGGATTCGTATGATGCAGCCTACATGTTCCCATCACCCAGTAAAATATAGACATCAATTATTGCATCTGGGTTTATATTATGCATCCCCGCTCGCAGTTTCATTGTTGAGTAGGAATGAAGATTATATTTATAAATGATATATGTATGTAATTGTGTGCTGCATTCTTGCTGCTTCCAGTAGATGTACTATCTTTTCAGCGTTGACTTTTAAAGCGTTTTTGCTGACAAGAGGCTTATCAGTTGTAATGTTCAGCACCTACATTACCTGATGGTCATGTAGTGCTAGGGATTAGCGATTAAAGAAACATCGAGCATATTAATGTGGGAAATAGATATACAATATGTTATAAAGGATAAGACAAGTAATTATTGGGTGTGAAAGGTCAAGATGGAAGCATTTTTTTTGCTATCATATGAATTATTGAATACAATCTGGTATGCAACCCCTCAAAATTAGATTTAATTCATGCTCGTACACCATCACTTAAATAGGAAAAGAGAAGTATTTCTAAGGCTACTCTATATCTTGTTTTTCTTTCACAGCATATACATTATTAGTTATATGTTTGCCTGGATAGGAAAGTAACAATCAATCCCTCAAAATAAAAGGAAACTAATGATCAAGACCTTAGCTGGCTGATGGTAACTCCATTCATTCTCTTGCTATTATTATTATTTTAGTTATTTTTCTATTCTCATCGGTAGGTTTCTTCTGTGTTGTTTTGCTTTAGTTTCGTAGTTGTCACTCCCGTGTATTTCTTTGATGAGGAGGTGTGGACACGAGGCCTAACTATCTGGTATAAATTGGTTTTCCCACTATCGATGTGAGATTGGATTGTTGTTCCCTTTTCTGCACATGATTGTTCCACTTGTGATTTATCATATATGAATTGCTACTTGACATCCTCTTGTTGACTGCTGGTTGTGTTTGTTCTCTTGCCAAAGGCCGGGACTTTGAGTTGCCTGCAATGGTGGAGCTCGGGATGTTGGTAGATCTGACCGGACTGGTGAGCACTCTGCCCACACCTGCCGAGGTCACCCTGCTCTGTGCCATGCTCGGTAACTCACCCTCGCTGATGGTAATGTTATGCACAAAATGCTGATGAAGTTGTGTACTGATTCAATGAACTGAATTTTAATGAGCTGATGGTGATGATATATTTTTTGTGAACTAAAAAAGTGTATCCCCATATTGGTGCTTTTAGGAAATGGCGAATTTACGTATCCTTATCAACCTTATACTAATACATGTATCTGTATCGGTGCATTCTTGGATTTCATGTATAAGCCGCTCAAGAGAAATTTAAATAAGGTTGTTATGTTTCAGCATACTATACATACTTTCCCGTAGACAATGCTGCAATACTGTCATGTGATAACTAGTACTGATATAAGGACCCTTATCTTCAGTGCCATTTAGAGTAACAGTCTACAATGCCACAACACTTTGTTGGACCTGTTTTTGGCGTTTCTTCTGCCAGGTATCTCTATGATTTAAGTAGATAGAAGTTATTAATTACACGTTCATTGTGGTCGACCGACTGTCTCTCTTCTACAATTGGAAATCTGTTATGTTCTGATGAGATGCTATCGTATGACTAATATGTAACTGGTGAGGTTTTATGTCTCATAGTTAAACTTTGTTTCATATTTTGAACTAGTTATTGAACATTTTTGTTTCCATGACAGTAGATCTATATCGGGATTTATAGCATATGCTCTATGTGCAGCCATGGGCGGATCCAGCCCAGCGCCCCGGGCCCCCTTTGTATACTGTAGCAGTTGCTACAATATTTTCCCTACAGCCCACAAAGAAAATGGGCCTCACGCCCCGGGCCTGGGGCCTAGATCCGCCATTGTGTGCAGCTGATGAGTCTTTCAGGGATGCAAATTGTGTGCCTTCGGAAAATCAGAATTAGGAAAGAATGGGATTTATAGCATATATGCTCTATGTGCAGCTGATGAAGCTTTGAGAGATGAAAATTGGTTGCCTTCGGAAAATAAGAAGGAAAGAACGGTACCAATTGCTTTTAGTGGAAGCTCTTTTCCTTTTTTGTATTTTTGCCGAGTCGCTGAATCTAATTAGAGCTTTTATCAGGGTGTTTCAATTGGTGGGGGAATCGGAAGCATCTCAGACATTTTTAAATGCATGACTGCTGATTGCTGAAAATGTTCATACCCACAGTCATTGCAATTTGTTTTATTCTCATTCTTTTGAGAGAATTCCTTATTTGACACTACCTTAAAATGTGGTTCCCTATTTGGCCCTGAAGAAAATTTTCTTCCTTGTTTGACACATGCACTAATTTTTTTCCCAATATGACACTCTAGTGTATTTTGTTCACTAACGGTGTTAAAGACAGATGTGAAAATACCTTTTTACCCCTGGTGCATAAAGTGAGCAAAAATCTGTACATTACAATATATACACTTATGTTACATATTTGGTCATGTTAAATGACCAATTGAGACCCCATAACTTGGACAATGATCTGATTTCAATCCAAAAAATTGTCCTCTCATTTTAATTCAAAAAATGAAAATTTGGCAAAACCTCCCCTGTAATTTGATCCCATATCTCACACAATTCACATATATATGTACATATATACACACAATATGCATCACAACATGAACAACAAACAGAAGCAGCCATGTTCACACATACATCACATTTAGGTTCACATTCACCACATACATCAGTACTAGTTGGCATGCATCACATACTGTTTCACATATGAGGTCAGGTCCACAAGTACATCACATGAGCAGCACAAAAGGACATCCAAAAGTAACCATGACATTAAGGAAAACATGAGAATCACAAACTAAGCCGCCTTTTGCTTCTTGTGCTCATTGAAGGGCTTGCAGAGTTAAATTTTTTGCTTCTTGTGCACATTGCTGGGCTGTCTTGTGGCACCATAGGAATCTTTTCAGTGCACTCCTTACTCTTGCCCCTAACCTTCACAGGAACATTTGTTTCATCGCCGTGCATAGGAAACTCGATGGAAATTGGCTCCGGATGTTTTGAGCCGGTTCTTGATCTGCACTTAGGCATGTAAGGCAGCAGTAGTTTTTAGCAATTGAAAACAAACAAATATTCATAACATGTCAACTAAAAAGAGAAACAATACCTCTTGATCGAACTGATTCAGATTTCCCCCCTTTTCCCTTTTTGTTTGTATTCTTCAAGCTTTTGCTATGGTGAGAAGAAAGCAATAAGAATACAGAACAAGTTTTAATTTAACTAAATCTCAAAATCTGAACTAGTTGTAATCACCTTTTTGATGCTCCAGCACTAGAGTTAGCATGTTTCCCCCTTTTTTGGTTGTAGTTTCCAAGCTTTTGCTATTATAGTGAGCAGAAAGGTACTTACAATTCAAACATTGTTTTCATGTATTTATGAGCACAAGTGTAAAATTACGAACCTTGGGGGAAAACAGATTCTTGTTGGTACTCCATCTTCGCAAGGCACAATGGATAACTCAGCTGTTTTGGTTGTCTTTGTCCTTTTCTTTGGTGGTTCTCTACACACAAGAGATAGGAAAGTATTGAACATGGTTGGAAGAATAATGCAAAAATGAGTAAATCTATACTACTCCCTTCGTTCCAAATTACTCGTCGCAAAAATGGATGTATCTAGAACTAAAATACATCTAGATACATCCATACCTGCGACAAGTAATTCGGAATGGAGGGAGTACCTCACAGCCATCATTGCAGCAATGTTGTAACACCCTCGATGCGACTATATCTCCCACGTGTCGAGGCACGACTTAGAGACATAATCGCATTGAAGGCATATGTCGCAAGTTAGGCAATCTTCACAACATCCCATGTAATATGAACAACAAAGGGGAGATAACATAGTTGGCTTACACTCGCCACGTCAAACAAGTACATAAATAACATTACAGCATCCAAACACTCATGGCCCGACTACGGCGCCAAAATAAAAGAGAACCCAACATGCGACACGGTCCCAATCACCCCCAACTGGGCACCACTACTGATCATCGGGAAAGGAAACATAGTAACGTTGAGAGTCTTCGTTGAACTCCCACTTGAGCTCATACGCGTCACCTGGAGCGGAATCATCAGGCCCTGCATCTGGTATAGTAGTAATCTGTGAGCCACAGGGACTCAGCAATCTCGCACCCTCGCGATCAAGACTATTTAAGCTTATAGGTATGGCAAGGTATATGTAAGTGGAGCTGCAGCAAGCGACTAGCAAGTATGGTGGCTAACTTATTTGCAAAAGAGGGTGAGAAGAGGAGGCAAAGCGCGAGCGAAGAACTAGAGAGCAACCTGCGCAAATATTACTCCAACACCGTGTCCACTTCCCGGACTCTGCCGAAAAGAGGCCATCACGGTAACACACTCAGTTGATTCATTTTAATTAAGTTAAGGTTCAAGTTATCTACAACCGGACATTAACAAAGTCCCATCTGCCCATAACCGCGGGCACGGCTTTCGAAAGTTCAATCCCTGCAGGGGAGTCCCAACTTAGCCCATGACAAGCTCTCACGGTCAACGAAGGAATAGACCTCCTCCCAAGACGTTCCGATCAGACTCGGTATCTCGGTAACTCAAGACACTTCGACAGGTTAAAACAAGACCAGCAACACCGCCCGAATGTGCCGACAAATCCCGATAGGAGCTGCACATATCTCTTTCTCAGGGCACACTCAGATTGTCTAAACTTCCGGTAGGCCAGCCCAGAGTTGCCCCTGGTAGCCACCGGCGGCTGACGGTTTGGACCAACACTCAGAGGAGCACTGGCCCGGGGGGGTTAAAATAAGATGACCCTTGAGTCTGCAGAA